ACGCATAAAGCGCATGATGCATTGTTTGCTTTTTTGTTAATCAATTAATAAAGAAGGATAAAACGATACATCATGCGCTTCATGCATAACTCGTAACGCACCTATAGTGATTAACCTTCGCAGCACACATTGGGTCTTTCGTGTCCATGCCATTTCTAATAATTTTTATTTTTCATATACCTGTGAACATGGTCCTATGCCCTCCCCCCCCCCCCCCCCAAAAAACTTTGTAATAGAAGCCTTCCATTGGAAGGAATATAGGGGAACAACGGCGACAAGAAATCTCTGTGTTGTCGTTCAATACGGTCGCAAAGTTGCGTGAGAACCCTTAAGACCCATGTTTATAGTCGGAAGATGTCTTTTTCACAAGTAAGGGAATTAGTTATTTTATTATTTTTGTATTGAGTGGGCTTATTTTATTGTGTCTATATTTTTTTTGCTGTATTGACTGCTGGAAGCCGATATGCGAACTCCATAGATCACCGATATACAGCGTATGCATACCACAAAAAAATTTAATATTCTGTAATCACCTTTTTAATATTTCTGTTTACATTAAAAATAATCATTTTTGTACTTTAATAAAATCAAAAACTATTTTTTCTTTACAATACTCTATTTGTCCACATTAAAAATATGACATATTTAGATGCTCAAATAATTGCACTTTTTTTGTATCTGGCTCCTGTAATATTTTTTTTTTGTAAACTATGATATCTGTACAAAATCATCCTACAATGATTTTTTTTTTTTTTGGTACATATATATAGCAAACTAATAAATTATAAATATAATCGGGCTCTCATAATATTAAAGAATACAATAAAAAAAATGGACAATAAGAGCATGTACTCAGCGTGGGTCTTAGTATGCCAATTTCTACATAATTAACACAAGAATGCCTACATAATATATAAACGTACAATAATTATCTGTACCATATATTATTCGTATTACTCACTAGTTGTCTGACTCCCGTCGGGAAAACATATATTTTAATTTTATATCGTTTAAAGAGGATGTTGCAACAAATGTTTGTCTGTTTTAATTTTATATTTATAATTTTTAAAAATATGCTTTCTTTGTTTGTATCTCTCGCTCGTAGCCCTTCAGATTAGTTGTTTTATTTATGGTAATTTTTTTTTCAGTAAAACTGCACATATTTATAATATTATAAATATGTGTAGTTTTAGTAGATACTAAAAAAAATTATCATAAATGTTGTACTTGTCACATACATGTTATAATATATATTATTACATGATTGTGAGTCGTTTATTAGTCATAGTTAAGTAGTACAAGTCGTGGGGCACAGAGAGAGAGAGAGAGAGTGGCTACACAACAAGGTCGACTCGGGATCTACGGATTCGAGTTTGACCCCACCAGCGCCCCACATTTGCGGTTTTATCCGTTATTGACGAGTAAATTTATATTATTATATAATATTATAAATATTTGCAGTTTTAGTAGATACTGAAAAAAAATTACTCTTAACCCTGCTGCAAATTCCCATGGGTTTTTTCATAGCATAGGCGTATCGTGAAATTTTTTTCGGGGAGGGAGGGTTTCAATCAATCCAGGGATGTACCGTGCACCAATCGGAATAACAACCAAAAAAAGAAGGATTTTGCTATATCTTATATTAAAATTGGAAGGTCACGTTTTTTTTTTGAAGCCTTTTTTCAAAGGGATGTTTGAGTACTCCGATTTCGATGTGGCTTCGTATTCGGGGGTTTTAGGGATCGCTCGTTCCGAAATCGTGATAAAAATTTCGAAATTCAAAATGGCTGAACCAATATGGCGGACGAAAATGTTACGGAAATTCTAAAGGTTCTCCGATTTCGGTGAAATTTGGTATCATGAGGTTTTTGGGGTTGCTCGTTTCGAATTCGTGTTCAAAATTTGGAAATTCAAAATGACTAAACCAATATGGCGGATGGAGATGTTATGGAAATTTTAAAGATTTTTCGATTATAGTAATTTGTTTTAGGGGGTTTTCCGGGTCATTCATTTCGATCTTGTTCAAAATTTAAGAATTTAAAATGGCTGAACAAAATGGCGGAACAAAAGTTACGGAAATCTAAAAGATTTATTATATATATAGTTAGATATTATATATATATAGATAAAGTTTCATTGCGATGTAGAAATTGCATGGTTATATTGTTCTGTAAATAAACAAAATATTTCGGGTTGACATTATTTAAATTTTTGTGTATAAAAATTTATAATTAGAAGCACATATAATTAACCAGCTTGGCTCATCGACTCTTCTTTTAATTTATTTTATTGTTAACAAAATATATTGTTCCCTTATTTACAAAACACTTAATTTTTACGTCGCAATGAAACTTATAATTGCATTTTAAATACTTCAAGTACTTACACAAAAAAAGTTTAGATTAATTTTGTCATTATATGCTTTTCCAATTTTAGTACTGTAATAAGAAAATAAAATAATAATAATAAAGTAATAACAGATAAAGTAAATAAAGTATAAAAATGTGTTTAATAAAAATAAAATGCTTGAAACACAACTTTCATATGTATATACCCTGCCTGCACTATACGTAACAGAAACGTGCTGTTTTGGTCGCAAAGTCGCAGAAAATATGTAACGTCTCTTGCACATCGCAACGACGTGTATAGACATGCTATTTTGGTGGCAAAATTGTAGAAAATATGTAACGTTTTTTGCACGTCGCATAGACGTGCATAGAGAATATAATGTATAGTTGGCAAAATTGATTCTCGAAGAATGTATGGCGGTGTTTAGCGCGGATAAATATAGGAGTCAGGTTGGATTGAATGTACAAACGACAGTGTACAATTAAAAAGTAAGTAATTGTTTTTTATTCTTTTATAATTATAATTTTTGTGTATAGTTTCTCTACGCATAATATTTTCTTTTTCCGTTATTTTCAAACTGAATAATACTAATCGATAGAAAATTTGTTGAGGATCCTAACCCTATTTGTTACATTAACGGTTTTCAATATTTTGACATCAAAGACTTCATATATGACATGATTATAGATAAAGCCTATTGGATAAAATATCAGGTTAAGTCTAACCATAAGTTAACTCAACCAGATAATGAAAAACGATAATGAAAAACCGAGTCTTAGGTCGCAAATAGATGCTCAACATGTTGCATAAAGTCACAAATATTCGTCACTGCAACGTTGCTATCACCAAAAATTTGACTGTTAGTCACGTGTCAACGACGGCTGTGTTCCAAAATTGACTGCCAGTACTGAAAATCTATAGTGCATGTAACGTAAACTGTAGCATTTTCAGTGCTGGCAGTAAATTTGGAACACAGCCGACGTGTCTATTACGTTTCAAGAAGTCGTTGTGAAGTAACGTATGACGAGTTGGCACGTCATAGAGACGTGTTTGTCGCGTATTGTGCATGCGGGGTAGTTTATTATTTAAAAATATAAATATTAGCACATTTGTAAAAAATGGGTGTAATATAACTTTAATGTTAATACTTTTAAGCGAAATAAACATCCCGCGCATATAAGATTGCAGAGATGAATATTTCTGATCCACAGTTTGTGAATGTAGTACGATTATACGAATCAAATATCGATTTATCATCTGCAATCTTGAAAAATGGACGTATATATCCTCAGAAAAGTGGACTTTACTATGTAGTTTACATCCACTTTGTACAGTAGTGCGCGGCAGGATTTTTCGGTTACAGGTTTTGTGCCGTCATGTCCTATTTCAGGTTTCTCTCTAATATAATGTACGTATATTAAACTTCTTTAAAGTCCAGAATTTTATTTTTCTAGATAGTTTTGCAAAAATTTCCTGACACTTTTTCCTGATTTCCCTAATCGTTTTCAATTTCCAGTTGACAATTTCATGAGTTCCAGTTTTGCAGCGACCCTGAATGAGCATGGGATAAATTATAGCCACTCGTTTCTTAACTTTTTGAATATTTTCTACAACGCCATCCCTTTTTCCTCCTAATTCCTTCACGTAGATACGTGCATTTTGTCTCATACTTGAAACGCAGAATGCGTAAGAAGTACGAACGAAACAAATGGATTAGTCATGTACTTATCGTAAGGTTAGCTCATTTCATTTGTACCTTCCGCACTCTTTGTTTCTATCCCGTTTCTCACTTTTTCGTAAATATCTATATTCAATACTAAAAATGAGAAGAAACGTAGGGAAATAGACTTATACGCTTCTTTGTTGAAATAATTCTCGTGAATCTTCAAAAACCGATGTTTAAAAAACGGAGCGTAATTTGTACCGTTCACTCTGTTTGTGTGTTGAAATATTCAAATATGGCATAAAGAAACAGTATCGCACCTAAAGGTAGCGCAACCCCGATCAATAAATGTTTGAAAAACTAATAGTAACACACAATTTAAATTTAAAAATTGAATTAAACAGTTTAAATTGATTTAATAATAAAATTTGAATCGATAATAATCATACGCGTGCTTAAAATTATTTATAGAATTAAATGCGGTTACATTATTTAAATTAATATTTCCCATGTTCCTTCTGAAATTGTAATATAAACTTTGTTTTGCACGGAAACATACAAATAATTGTACAAATATTTTAATTGACTTATTCTAAGATTTAATTTGGAAAATTTAACTTTGATATCCATTCGATAATCGAAATATGCAATCATTCAAATGGAAGAACAATCGATTCTTCTACCTACATTTCTAATCGCACGATTAATATCAAATACTACAATTAATTAACATCTGTCCGCTACCAAAGTAATTATCTTACAGATATTACATTTCGATAGAAATTGATTTTGTCGCTCGTTCAAGGCCTCCGCGGTACGACAAGTTTAACGTTAGATATTACGATTGGAAAAATAATTCGCGCGCTTGCTTTTTCGGGGCCCGTTTGAAACCGGAAACGAAGGACGCGAAACGTTCAAACCGCCACCGCTGTATCCAACAGAAAATTTAAAATCGCCGGAACCGCCGGAGTCGCGTGAGTGACTCGCGCGCACCCATCAGCTGATTTTTGCGTCCGGTTCGACGAGTCATGCTTTTTCTTCCGGTCCGATGCAGACCGCCGTTTCAGTATCTGCGGGATCGACGGTGAAGATGGTAGATGAAGCTGGTGACAGGTTCGTAGACGGGATTATTCTCCGCCGTCGTCCGCGACGTCTCAACGCCACCCGTACGAGAGATACGTCGCCGGATCGACGTCTCGGCGACGCGATTCCCCGTCGCCATTGCGACGGAATTAACCTCAAAGTTACCGCAGCAGCGGGCGGCGAGTTAATTTTTAATAAATTTCCAGGCCTCGTGTGACTTCGAAGAACGTTATTCTTGATTTCGAGACAACGTTCGACGTGATTTTGTAGGGCACAGAGGAGATTTTTAGTCGCTACTTCGATTTTTCGACGCACTTCGTTGAAGCGGCTCACATTGGCTTCTGTCACTTTCACTATCGTTCTTTCTCCGATCTTTAATATATATATATATATATATATTTATATGTATATGTATACACGTCTTATCTCGTTATTGTGATAATTAATAGCGTCTAATCGCGAGACCGCAAAAAATACACGACTTTGATCTTATAATTAATCTCGCCAGGAAAACTTAGTACGCCATCAAAACAAATCTTACGTCGATTGACTGTAAACTGTAATCTGTGTCTTACATAACACATGAAAGGAAGAAATCTCAAAGAGGCCAGGATTTAATGTTGTTTACAGAGCACTTTATGATGCATAAATCGCAATTACATGTAGCATACATGAGATTATAAATAAATTACAAAAACTTAATCCCTTGTATGAGAACAATTTCTTTATTTTATTTTTTTTTCAAAAGATTTTGCACTGGTAGAAGTGACCCTGGCACGCTGAAGTGAATTACATAAATATTGCAAATGCAATTATGTTGCGAAATACAACATTAGCTTAGAAAATTTTTAAATAGCATCTCACGCAGAACAACAACTCATTATGATAGGAAAATAATGTTAAAATGACTCCAAAATGATCATTAAAAATCATTTTTCAATTATTTCCGATGTCATTTTGATGTTATTGTAACTTATTGTTCTGTTTGGGATGGAACGTTAAAGCAATAAATGCGTTCAGCAGTAAAAGCAGCTTTGCGATTGTTATAAAATTCTTTAATATAATTGGTCTTCTCCTTAGTTTATCACAGAATCTAAATTTATAAATATTAATTGTATTAAAAAGTCTTACAAAAGTTGCTAAGTTGCTTTTTTCTGCTGAATACGGTCAATGTTGCAGTAACATTAACAACGTTGCTGCGACATTCTTGGAATGTTCCATGCTATCTAGTATTACCTTATACATTTGTTTCTTTTTCTTGTAGGGATGAATCCTCTAATGTTGCCATTATCAGAGAAGTATACGATAGTGAAAATGCCCACGAAACATTCGAATACGAGTTAGAGCGAGCGCTAGAATCAGAATGCAGTTTAATCGTTATCGAGCCGTCGAAATTAGGTGATGAAACCTCCAGATGGATAGCGGTAGGAAATTGTCTTCACAAGACTGCCGCATTATCGGGTCTTGCTGCGATCGTCACAGGTTTGTCTAATTTATATAAAAAGTCCTCTCATGCACATTATAACAATTATTATTACAGGGAAATGTCCAGGATTTTTAAGTCTAGGTTTGATGTATCAGCATCACTTGTTTTCCTTTTCCTATCTCCATTAAGAACAAAGAAAGCTACAAGTATTGTATACATCAAGCCTAAAATTATAAATTTTGGACATCTGTATTGCTATATTATTCTTAATAAATTATGCGAGTGTTACAATATCATATGTATGTGTTACAATTATATGTTAACTCATTGTGGCTTAAAATTACATACATTGCTGATTAATAATATATTTTATAATATCTCTCTTACAGGATTAGTTTGGGGCGATCGACCGTACATCTGTGGTCCATTAGGTTTTACATCAGTTATAACCTGCGGATTATATACAGTCTCTTGGCAATTTGATCCCTGCTGCCAGTACCAAGTAGAGACTGATACCAGCAAATTACCGCACGTTGAGCTATTAGCTGTTCTAGGTCCGTCATCTCCGACGTTTCTTGTAAGGAAAGATGATAAGAGGAGACGAATTCTTCATACAACTATTGCATTGGCAGCCTTCGGTATTACTGCCTGGAGAGTATATCAGGCGTTCAAGTGAAAAAAATTATTACTGGCATTGGTTTTGACTTATAGGCCAGAATGAAATAATAAGGTAGGCCACATGATGTCGAGTTTCATAGTAGTAGGCCTACAGAATTCCTTGAATGAAAGGAAACGTGCAAACTCGTTTATTCTCATGCTGTGGTATATTAGGACACAAAGTATTCTCTCATTTTGACAATTGACTTATAACACTTTTTGATACTACCTCGCAGGTGAATGCTGCTTATGTGATGACTAAACCACATAAATACAAGTAAAGAGAGCCAGATTTTATCCGAGCTTTTACATTGGCATATAATTTGAGATCGTTATTTTTTGTGATCTTTATCTTGACAAAATTTTCAAAAATAATTATTGCAAAACTGGAAAGACTATGTAGTCTCTATAATGAAGAAAAAGAAATATTGACATAAGTGTTCTTAGAATGATTAAATTTACAATAGTACATATGAATTTAGCATTATGTATTTTTAGACTGTAAATAAAATAGGTAGAGAGAGAATACAATACGTATGATGTCAAAGGGTATGCCTAGATTTTCTCACCCAACAAAACAATCTATGTTGAATTAGATATCAGAAAGATATATTGACCATAAAAATTCAAGTTTAGATTTTATTTTATTATTCATAAATATAGAATAAGATATGTACTTTTTTCATCACAAGTGCGTGTACGAAACTTATTTGCATTAATCCCGTCAAATGAAAGTTGACATCGCAAACATTCCTATAAATGTTTAACGATAACAAAAATTAAAATTCTGTACATTACATTATACGAACTCTCATCACGTGATATAAAATTTATGATCGTACGAATGAAACATTCTCTCGTTTGTGTGTACATCGACACAGGAGCTCAAAAGGTGAACAGTGTACATAATTCTGAACATTGCTGTAGAAATTACAAATCAACCTTAGAATGATAACAGATATACTTTATTTTAAAATATCGTTATGTAATGAATATAGCACAAAATTTAAGAAACGAGAATTGTAAGATCAACATCTGGAAATCCATATATTTGGATTTCGTTTTAAAGAATTCTGTTTTTATATGAAGCGCAGGAATATGGTGATTTCTATTAAACTTGTTTCTCTAAATATGTTAAATTAACAAATTACAATACTAGAAAAGAAAGTCCATTGCACAGAACAAGCTTACTATTACTAACAAAAAATTACATTATAGCAAAAAATGTAATCAAATTTTATTTGAAGTACGTTACAATTTTTTCAGTATGCCTCAAGAGTGTGTAGTTGCATTCTATATTTATATGTACAATGTAACTACATACCAGAACCGTTTGCATAGTGATTACATAAATATTACGTAGTGATTAATGTATGTAATCGCTCGATGTTACGTTTAATATTACATTTAATTATATTTTATAATATAATATAAATTTTTATGATGTTTCTTTACATAATCTATTTTATTATATTAAAGAATAGATATATAATACAACTTAAGGAAGACATGAAAATTGTGATCAATATATGGGATATTGAAATGGCTAAATCTGTCATGACAATTAAGATTTTATTATGGTAGACATATTTTTTCAAGTCTTATTAAAATTGTTATATTTTAAGTAAGTTTGTACCACTTAAATAAATAGAGAAAATCAAATGAAGTGTTAACAATTCACAAAATAATTTTAATAACACATTGAATAGTACTATAAATAGATGTGCTATCTATCACTCTTGTGAACAATTTATATATTTTTATCATACAATTAATTACATATAATCCTGTACTTTGTCTTTACATTATAATATTCGAATATTTTACAAATAATTATTAAATAAATGTATATAATTGAGATCTTTATCACGTAAAATTTAAAATATTAGAATTTATTAATTTTATAAGCCATATATCAAGAGATGGATAGCACACTCTATACCTTTTCAGCGTCAGTTCCAATTAAAAGTTCATAGTAATAAAATGTACATAATGTAATTATCCGTAACCTCTGTCAAATTATATAATTACATGATATCTGATATTTTTTTATTTTACGTATAAAATAATCATATGTATACACATAACTCCACGATAAATAAAATGCAATCACGTTGTCCGTAAAAAAATCCGTATTTGTGATATCTAATTAAAATAATATTATTTGTCTCGTACTAATTTTCTCGCACGCTTTTGCATAATCCAGAAATAAAGCGAAGGACACAGAGTTCTAAGTACTATAGCACACTTTGGAGAAAACGATGCAACAGTAACTTCCTTTTCTTGTTTCAATACAGATTTTAAAATACATTCAGCTACATACTTTGGTTGAAAACCACTTTCAGTTGTTTTATCCATTACTATAATAAAATAATGCATATTAAAAAATTACATATGGAGAGGATATATTAAGATATTTAACATTTCTATTAAGAACATAGTTACTTACTTCCATAAATTTGCCCGTTTCCTGTCAAGGCATTAAGAGAAAGAGATGTTTTAATATACCCTGGATTGACAACTGTGAATTTTATATTTTTATCAGATAGCTCTGCTCTTGCAGTATCGTACCAAGCTTGTAATGCATGCTTAGATGCAGCATATGCAGATCTAAAAATTAATAATTAAGCAATTTGTCAAAAAAGAAAAGAAATTGACTTATAACTGAATACTTGCCTAAATGGAATAGCGATTCTCCCTTGTATACTACTTATACCTATTATATGACCAGATTTTTGCTCTATCATGTATGGGAGAACAACTGTAAATCAATGAATTATGAACCTATATGCAATAGTCTATATAAATCTCTTAAGTAATATACTTACTTTTGCTTAATGCAACCTGAGAGAAATAATTCGATAACATGACTTTTATATCTACATCAATATTTGTGTCAATAACTTCTCCTCTATATGAAATACCAGCATTATTGATTAGAATGTCAATTCTGCCATGTATCATTATAGTTTTTGACACTTCATTTTTCAAATTATTAATATCAGTTAAATCTAATGATAAAACAATAGGTGGATACGTTGGAACTGTCTGAAAGGAAAGCAAAATAATTGATATCCAATAAATTTGTCTATTGAAATGTGTATTATGTTACATACTTGATGAGTATTCATCAAATCGTTCTTTACTCTCTCTAATTCCTCTTTTCTACGAGATACCAAGATAATTCTGCAACCTAAGCTATAGAATGTGTGAGCTAGAGCTTCTCCTAAGCCAGAACTAGCGCCAGTTATCATAACAACCTGAATTAAATCAAATATAACAAAAATGTATCTACAGAAATATTCAAATATATATTTTGTAAATATATTTTGTTTACGTTTTATACGCGTTTTATACTTTTATAACAAAATTTTTTAAAAACTTTACAAGATATTACCTTATTAACAAAAGCTGTTTTTTTCCGCTTTTGCAACATAATATCATAAAAATGATACACCAACCAAGGAATGGTGATTGGAAAACCGAATAATTTGAATAACCACCATATAATTTTCCATCCTGCTAATGTTTCTTCCTTCTCGTTTTTCATGATAACACGAATTTCAATCGAATGTTGATAGAATTAATTAACGGTAATATATTTAATTATTAAACTGCTTATCAATTATTATCTATGAGTGTAATTATTTCTTGATCAAAGGTTGCCATTACTTAAGAAAGTTATTACAACTACAATCGCACAGTAATATTGCTTATGTCAGTCAGAAATATAACCTTTGAAACTTATGTCATCAGATAAATACAACGAAGTTTGCCGCTTTGCGATAAGAGACCTAATCCTTTTATTTGCACTTTTTACACTTTATATCAGTTTTCCTTCTTCTGAGATCTCCTATATGTATCCATCCATCTCACTTTGAAGATAGAAGTGTAAAATAAAATGCAGAGCTAAGGAAATATCTCAGATTTACTTTTTTTATTGCCCTTTTTTCTATATATATATTTCTTCGTAGCAAGTAATTTTCATTTAAACAGCAGCAAGAAATATAATTTGTAAATATATAATATATAAAAGAAAATTAATTATTTTCAAAATCTTTTTAATTATCACTTATTATTTATTGTATGTCTTCCCTAGTTAATCCAAAAAATCAGACGCATCGATATTTCAACGAGGATATAATAACGATATTTAATTATTTGAAAGTATCGAGAGTTCTTCTATCGAAGGACCGTTCACTATCGCACAACTTCAGGCAGTGCCCGATATGGGGCACTACTTCATGAATAACCTCGCAAGTATTACAGCTGACAGTGTTAATTGAATCATCAAAATGACTTGATTCATTCTTTCGGGAATTTCTGTCGTACGCATCTTCAAATCACTGCAAATACGCTCTCATAAATCGTATGTAAAACTGTATATCTTTCTTTCTTTTCAGGTCGATGTCGGTTGATGTCAGTTCCCGTATTCCCACAGAACGAAAAAAGCAATATATATTACTCAGTGGCTGCAAATCGTGCACGATAATTGTTGCGACGTGTTACTGGCGTCTAACAGAGCAATAAACACGAGTACGCGACGTCCAGGTATGATAAACCCCAACTTAACCTAGAAGACCTAACTTGAGGTGAAACTAGGTTCCCTCGAGCATCGTCGTGCACGTTACAATACGTTTTGTTAATATATGTTGATGTAATTTAAATAGTGAGCAGAATGGAGACTCACGAGACAGAACATTACGTGACGTTTCCCCTTGGTGAAGTACATGATGCCATAGAGGAAAACATGATATCTCACGAGGAGATATGCGAGCAAGTCGACGAATGTGTTCTCCAGGAAGGCCTTACAGAGGTCACGGTCAGTAATACTGCTAGTACTGACATCGTAGAGTCGCAAGGTACCGTCGAGATCCTTGCGGAACAGTCGGAAGAGGAGGACGATACTCAGGTAGTATATCCGATGTACATCAAGCAGGAGGAACAGCAGCAGTATACATCAGGCGACGACGAATCCATGGCTGTGGAAGCTCTACGTCAACTGGGTGGTATGTATCCATGCTTTGAGGACAAGAAGATCAGTTGCCCGGTCTGTAAACATCTCTTTACCCAAGAAGAAATAGTTGAACATCAAACTGTATGTCAGTCAACATCCAAGCTATCTTGCACCACTTGTGGAGAGAGATTTGAAAGAAAGATTGATTTGAATAATCATATGGTTTGCCATCAAGTGGACCGTCCTCATGCATGCAGAACATGTGGTAACTTGTTTCGTTCCAAGCAGAGTTTGCAATCGCATACGATACAGGCACACACGCAACACGTTGAACGACCACACAAATGTACCATTTGTGGCTCGGACTTCCAGAGGCCTTCCAGTTTGTCCAATCACATGAAGATACACACGTATGTTGCGGGACGAGCCATCATGCAGTCTCAGAGTAATAATATATCACAGCCAGCGGAGACATTCAGAAAATGGCCAGAAAATCCGCCTGATTCACAGAACACTTCTCAGGTGGTATTATCCTCTTCATCTGTCGAATCTGTACAAAACTATGATGTATGTCAAGTTCAATGGCCGGTCTCGTCATACAATTTTAATAGCGGACAATCGATAGTTACCACAATGCCGAGTCAGGATACCAAGATGGATACGCTGCAAGAGTTTACAGTGATGCCCAATGGTGAAATGACGCAATTTAGCGAGTATACCGAGCAAAATAATATCAATGATTCCGTAAATAACAGTCAACAGTATAACATAACGATAAATTCGTTCAACACTCCCGATGGGATAGTCAAAGTCGAGACACTTTACAGATGCGATAATGCGAATAAACAAGATTACGCAGAAGCCGAAATGAATAATAGCAAGCAGTACATATGTAAGCATTGCGGAATGAAATTTTCCCGTGCGACCGCTTTGGCATCTCACGAAAAGATTCATGCTTCGAAGAACAACTGGAATATGCCGATCGAATGCGAGTACTGTGACAAACAATTTCAGGACGAGAATCACTTGACGACCCATCAAATCACCTGCACCAAGAAAATAATGCAAAACAACATCGAACAAGGTGTGTCTAACAATAAATGGGGTAAGCACGCTTGTTCGGAATGCGGAAAGAAATTCACGACCAAGCAGAAGATGTTTCGCCACCAGTGGATTCATCGCAAGAAGACTCACTCGTGCGAGGTGTGCGGCTCGCAGTTTGAGAAGCAGAACGAGCTGGACGAGCACAGATTGTCGGTACATCCTGGAGATTCGCCATTTACTTGCATGGAATGCGGAAAAAGCTTCGTGTCGCGACAGGGTCTTTGGGAACACGGTAGAACGCACGCTGGAAGTCCAGCCCATTTTCAATGTGATACCTGTTCGAAAACGTTCTCGTCTCGTCAGGGGTACTTAATACACAATCGTACACATACTGGTGAACGACCGTACGGCTGCAAATATTGCTGGAAGGCGTTTCGAGACGGTGGAACTCTGAGGAAGCACGAGCGAATTCACACAGGGGAGAGACCGCACGTGTGTCCATTGTGCTCGAGGGCTTTCAATCAGAAGGTAGTCCTGCGCGAACATGTTCGATGGGTTCACGCAGCGGGGAAAAACGAAACGGAAGGAAGTCCTCCGTACCAGTGTCCGCTTTGCGGTGCTCTGAATCAGGATCGCGACGAACTCTGCGCGCACATCGTCAAGCATTCGGATCAGATGATAGCTGAAGCAAAGGCGAAAACTAATAGCGACGCCTCTCCAAAGTCGAAATCAGTAAAGAAAAAGTCGTCAAAGTCATCATCGTGTAACGTGAACACACAAACGGAGCAGAATTTGGACTTTATGCAGAAAGCGGAGCAAAACGAAGCCTTATTGTCCATCACGGATACAGCTGATAAATCGGATGATATGCATGATATAAACGAGAAGCAAAACAACGCGTATGTTGTAGTTGCCGCAGAAAAACGTAGTGATGGCTATATAGAAATAGCCGAGCTCAAGCATAGCAATATACGATTTATCGTTGATGGCAAAGAAGATGAGAATATCCAGGTACTCCAAGTAGAACAGGATCAGACAGATCCTCTCGATATTGCTATAGACAAGCAAAACGACGCAACGAACATTATGTCCGCAGAATCTGATACATTCGATGAAACAGTCGGGCAGAATGATATGCCCACGATACATTTGATTGAGTCTAAACAGGACAACACTCTAAATATAATATCGAAGCAGAACGAATCGCTACCCGTTCTAGCGATACCAAATCCGCAGGGTCATGAGAATTATTCCAGTCAAATCGTACAGATAAGTGGCGCAGATATGTCTATGGACGTTGAAACTCTGAAAGAGAGAAAGAACTGTATTAAAAATGAGCAAAGTTCTTTAATACCGGACGAAACATCACATGTTATTATACAGTATCATCACGACAGCGATGATGGAGACGATTTTATTTGCGAAATCTGCGAAGAAAGATTTGAAGGCAAAACTACATTGAAGGAACACATCAAGATACACATATAATTATCATTTCCACTTTATTGTTTGCATATTGCTTGTGATATTTCACATGCTATTAATGACTCTATAGAAAGTATGTGTGAGTATATACATGATGAATGTCCCTTACCAGCGACTTAAGGTTCACAGGATTTATTTATCACCTGTAACAAGTAACAAGTTTAATTTCTAGAGAAGTATGTAAGTAAAACAAAATTATTCTAATAAGAAGTTAATGTACATAAATTGCACAGTTATTGTACATAAATCTAATTTACAATATACATTTTAGTTTTTTAAGTTAATTATACAGGTAAAACATATTTATAAAACCCGAAAAAAATGCTGTAATATGGCTTCGTTTGTATGTACACAGGGCTGGACATGTATTTGAAATACTTTTATTTGAAAAACAGTATTGGTAAGATAATTATATTTTGTATTTTGTATTTAAAATACTAGCATTGATAATCAACCTTATTATTTGAATTACAAGATACAAAAAGCTTTCAATCTTTCAATTTTAAATACAAAATACGTAATACTTTTATTCCGCTGACATAAAAAATACAAAATACGCGTGTATTGCAAATAGTGTGTTTTAAATAAAAGTATTTCAAATACATGCCAGCCCTGTATATACATATATACATACACACGCACATATACATACATTATATACATGTATATATATATATAGGCACATATACATACATTATATACATGTATATATATGTGTGTGTATATGTATATACTTTTTTGTTTTTTTATTTAAATGTGTCTTACAATATTTTTAATTTTGGAATTATGTTTTATTTATTTTTTTGGAATATATACCACAAAGTTGTTCAACTCATGATACTTCTGGATAAAGGACCCCGCATAAATCGTATGAAAAAGTGGCTTGGATCAAATTGGATGATACTGCGATATTTTGTTAATTATGAGATACTAATCAAAAGTTTTCTTAGGTCAAATCATAAAAAATGAACAGATTTAAAAGTATCTTTATCTGCTAAACTATTCATTTTTTAATAATTTTCTTTTGATACTTCTTTGCACAGAATAGTGAGATTTAATTAATGTAAGGAAAAAACGTTTTTTTTTTTTTTTTTTAAGAAATATGTAATTTGCAATATGATGTAATTTCTGTACATCAATTGATTCAACTTATTATTCTGTGCATAAAAGCATTAAGATACAGTTATTAAAGAACGAATAGTTTAGCTGGTTTAACAGATAAAGATACTCAGTTCGATTAAACTCTAAATAAAATTTTTGAATAATGCGACAGTAAAATCTGTCCATTGTTTTATGCTTTGGCCTAAGGAAACTTTTGATCAGCATTTCATAATCTACGGAATATCACAGTTTCAATTTGACCGAAGAAGGATTTTTCCATATGATGTATGTGGAAATTCTGAAAAAATTTTACTATACGCAAGTATACGTACAAAAAAAAGGCAAAATCTGTTTCTACAATATAACAGTTAATTTAATAGAGAGATTAATCACTTTTTATTCCAGCTGAACAAAAAATTATAAATGTTAAGATAGCCTTAGATGATTGTAAGAAAAATTTGATTCGTTCCTTTTTGCTATCCAACTGTATCTGTATTAAATTGACAAATAAATTCTAATTATACTTATACATTTGCCTTTAATTTAAATTTGTATTGACATATATGACATTTATATTTTCTGTAAATGGAAGATAGACATATAGATTATATTTTTGGACAACACTCTAAAACTAAATGTTTACTTTTATCTCTAAATGTTTTTTGTATTATTTTTAAATAACTAACTGGTTATAAAATGCATGTTATTTTAAAAGTAGTTAAATTATTTTCTCTATATCCTCATTTTCATATGTTCGTAAAGCAATGATTACTAATGAACTAAAAAGTTATGTCTCTCTATACTTTCCATAAATATTACAATTTATTTTTGAATACAGATACATTTGAAATTTAAATATATGTGTTAAAATGTTTTCAATGAAAGAAAAAAAATAAAAAAAAAGAATAAAAAGCAAAAAAATACCATAAAGACGTTCCTCTTTCTCTTGTCATGAAAGAAAATGCTAACATGTATCGCGAGAACAAAATAAAAAACTAATTTGATTTATTGTAACTTTATATATTTTTCTGTTCATGTTATATGTTCATATAAATTTTATAATAAATGAAATTAGTAAAAAAGTTATTAGGTAAAATAATGACCAAGTAAAATTAATTTAAAAGGCACTCTCTGATAAGTGATACTGTAAGATACAAAATTAAATAAAAATCATAGTAAAACTTATCATAATTTTTATCATGATGAAAATTATTTTACCTACATATTTAACAGATGATTGTCGATTTCTGTATATATGTATCGTGCAATTGTTGAAATCAGTATCAACAATTGATAAAGAAAAGTATGATGCAGAAAGTAAACTCTATAGAAAATACGGACTAAAAGAAATGTGTTCTTAGTTTTCCGTTTCTTGCTTTTAATCTCTTGCCTTTTTCCTTTTTTGCGACCGTTTTATCGACAATCATGTGTCTTGTCACGTGTCTTTTCAAGTTTGTTAACTTTTATTTCGAACAAAAATAAAAACGAAGAAACAGAATAATAAACTTTTATGGTACGTTTCCACTGAGCGCGTCACGCGTCGCGTCGTCCATCGCGTCACGACGCGACGCGAAAGAGAGAAAGAGTGAAGTTTATATATGTACACAACCTCTCTCTTTCTTTACGTACCATTAGAGTGAATCTCACTCTAGCACAGATTTTTGCATAACGCATAATGCATAGTGCATAAAGGAATCAACCAATTGAAATTCTTCTTTTCCATGGAATGGAAGGAAAGGGAAGATTCCGATTAGTTGATTCGCTTATGCACTATGCGTTATGCGTTATACAAAAGTCTGTGCTACGGCCTTTAGGAGTGAGATCTTATTTTTAAAGATTGAAAATTAAATTTTAAAGTAAAAACAGACTATGAATACCGGCTTAAATTAGGCATTGGCTGCGTTCAGCCGAGAAAGCAGCTTTGCAACTGTTGTAAAATTCTTCAATATGGTTGGTCTTGCCCGTAGTTCCTCATTGGATCTAAATATATAAATCAATCATATCCAAGAATTTTACAACAGTTACAAAGCTGCTTTCTCTGCTGAACGCAACCATTTAGGCTAAATATCGCGCGACACGTGGAGAATGAAATTCGCGCGTACGGTCACGTGACTTTGCCATTACCGGCAGTACACAACAACGGTCGCGTTCAGCAGACTCACTGTTGCGGAGCGGATCCGTGAGCGCTCGCTGTTATTGGTGTATTCTCCTATATTCTAAAAGAATACACTCCGCTCCGTAATAGTTGAGTCTGCTGAACGCGACCAATGCGTAATTAGCGCGAGTAGTTTTTTACGGACGCCGGTCACGTTGCTTCTTAATTCAAAGTTTCTCGGCGATTGCCATTTCGAGTTATTGCGAGGATATTTCAAAGAAGAGAGAAATGCGTCACTTGAGTTTTATCGCTGAAATCTCTCTCTGTCGCTGAGATTCATCGCCGAGTAAGGTAAGTCGATCGAAATGAGCACCACTGCGACGCATGTTTACCACGCGTCTGGTGTTCGTTTGTGATGTTTACATTCATATTATTAATCATCCCGCAATAATATAAGACGTGTGTCTCGCAGCGAATGACTTTTCTCTAATTATCCAGGAAATTAACGTATCGCAGAACGCTAATCTCCTCTTGTCGTACCGTGCCGCCGATCTTGCGGTATCACGGTGATTATCAGATCGCGGAAAGGTGTATTTACGTTGAGATACTTTTATAGTATCGTGAATCGTAGCTCGAAGCTCGTCTTTCATTCTTGGCGTTGCTTCAGGACACCAGTTTTAGCCGTTTTGTGCGAATTGTGCGCCGCAAAATCATTCCGGAGGAAACCTAACCTATAACAGCATTTGAGGTTATACTTGCGTCGATCCTCCACAGATAGGAAAGACATTTTTCTCTTAATCATTCGACCAAGTTTCAAAGCTTTTCAAGGATTCTACTACAAGTGTTTGCAGTAAATTAGAGATAAGAGCATCGTGAGTAACCATGCCTACTTGGAACCAGATTCAGGCTCAGCTGCGAAACCCCAATAATCCAGTCGTGTTCTTCGACGTATCGGTGGGAACCACGGAGATAGGTCGCATGATCTTCGAGCTATTCGAGGATGTCTGCCCAAAAACGTCGGAGAACTTCCGACAGTTTTGCACTGGGGAGTACAGAAAGGATGGCGTTCCGTTGGGTTTTAAAGGTGCCATCTTCCACAGAGTAATCAAGGACTTTATGATACAAGGCGGTGACTTTGTCAATGGCGATGGTACCGGAGTGTTGAGCATTTACAGCGGTGGAACATTCCCTGATGAAAACTTCACATTGAAACACGACTCGCCTGGTTTGTTGTCTATGGCAAACAGCGGCAAGGACACCAATGGCTGTCAGTTCTTCATTACGTGTGCCAAGTGTAATTTCTTGGATGGCAAGCACGTTGTCTTTGGTAGAGTTATTGATGGTCTCCTTGTCATGAGGAAGGTAGAAAATGTTCCTACTGGACCGAATAATAAACCAAAGATTCCTGTGACGATATCTCAGTGTGGACAGATGTAGTGACAGTATTATTTAGATCTACATATGAATTGACAGTTATAATTATATGTGAACTAACTATATAATTATATTTATTTTTTTCAACAACATACAATAAAAGTAATAGTTTTATAAACAAATTGCAGTTATATATATTTAAGGTTATAAATGTAAAAATAAGATTTTTTACTGATCTTAATTTTTTATACTAATTGTTCAACAATCTTGCATACATTATTATGTAATATATTACTATATCTTTCATTTATATAAATAAATTTATACATGATAAATATGTTTTATGTATGAATTTCCCTTAGGTTGTTTTTACTTATTCAGAAAGAGAAAGAGAGAAAGAAGGAAAATGCATCATGTAATAAAATAGAAAATCGAGTTAAATAATATTTTATTCTTACATTTAGGAATTACAAATTTATTACTTTAACATATAAATTTGTAAGTATAGTAAAACGAAATCTATTTAACTTAAAATTTGTGTTACATAATTTAAAATCTAATTTTGTTTATAATTTTATAGACTTAAAAGTTAGTTCTCTAACTACAAATATGATTAATTTAGTTATTGAGACAGAATTTTATTTAAAAAATGAATATCTATAGCTAAAATTAAGTAGAGTTTGGGGATGAAAAAAATTCAGTTATTTTTTAAGAACTCTAATTTTATTTTAACATCTGTACATATGAAATAAATACTTCATTCTACTTACTATGTTCGTAAAATTCTATAATGTAATTGGGTAATTCTCTGTATTACCTTTGTACGCGCGCGCGTATCGAAATTAATTTTTATAAATCGGAGCAAGTCATCAAAGACAAACGTACATATACATCGATATATTTGTATTAAGCATCGACCTATAAATTTATCGATCTAAATCTGTAAATCTTTCTGTTTGCAAATATGTTTATTTTCCCAAGTAATATTTCATGATTTTCTTATCTTAAGGATTATCTATAACTAAATTAAAATCTATTTTTATTGGTCGATGCGACGATGTACTCCGATCAATTATACGAATTAATGAATAACATCCACTATACCCACGTGTCTGAAATTCTAATACAATTTTACTTTATTATATAGTGTCTCAAAAGATATATCTTTTCAGTTATTATAATTTTTTTTATAATTTTGGACATTTTTTTATGAATCATCAGACATTATTTTTCATGACGTATTAATTTTTAATCATAATAACGACACTATCATTAAACAATATATGTTTTCATTAATTAATTAATTCTCTATTAATTGAAATCGAAATTTTGTCTCGCGTATCTAAACTTAAGTACCTTCTAAATGTAACGTAATGTTGATGTATGATCCATTCAAATGGTTCGTCGAGTGACTTACCGCTTGATCTACAGATCAATCGCACCGAAAAATCACTCGACGCCTCCCTGATGTATCAACATTGACGCATCTTTCTTTGCAGTTTCGATTATAGTTAATGAAAAAAAAAAATAGAATTCTGATATATCTGGTATACACTGGGATCAGTATAATCGTTTGCTATTAATTCACTTGTAAATCTATTGAGATCGATACACTTTAATTATTCACTAGCGTTTTATATAAAACTATTAGAGTCCGTGCGTGCATCGGCAGTCATTATCACGTATTACATATGTACATCGATTCATCTCTCTCTATCGCTTATACAGACATATATATATATATATATATGTATATACCAAAATAGATCAAACGACTACGTTAACTGTACGCGCAGCCGCCTCTAAAACCCACTTTAGACCGTCCGTAGCTCGGAACAGAATTTCTGTGTGCGGCAAAATTCTATCTATAATTTTAATAAAAATCTTCATCCTCTTATAAAAACTCGATCGTCATAAAAAAAGCTTATACTACTCGAATTTCTTTTTGCATTATATATGTACGTTCGTAATTAAATTGTTTAAGCCAAATTCTGTCACTTATTACAGACTGTCTAAAATGTGCTTAAGAATCTCACGCTTTATCGCAAAAACTTGGCTCAATATCTCATGTGCCATTGACGCAATTTGTTGCCACGAAGAATCACTCGTGTTCGAGATAATATACGGCCGATCTATCGCCCATAAACGAGCGATCGTCTTTGGTGGTATTTAACGAACTTGATCGGTAACGAATAATTTGACCAAACACTCACGTGGCAATGTAATCGGTGATAGTCGGTCCTTATCAACAAACGCGACTTCGGGAATCGGTAAATTGACGACGGTAAATTGGGCCGTCAGAGTTTCGCATCACACGGCCGTGTAGCGAGGGCCCTTTTTATTATCATCTACGTCGTCCCGAGTCGGCGCTGGGGACCGTCATCGACATCGTCACGATCTGAAATTAATATTTCATCAATAATTAAAATGAAAAAAAAAAAGTTTTGTGGCTCCAAAAATAAATCTCAATATGTTAATTTTACTTGAAAAGTTTACTTATATTTATAATATTCATATTATCATTATCAAGCCGACAACAAAAAAACTGACCCAGAGCTTTTAAAGTTTCTGAGTTGAATGAAAAAAAAGAAATTTTATTTTACCTTTTATCATCATATTTAAATTGAAGATAAAAATAATAAAATTTATTACAAATCACGTATTTTGCAAAAAATATGAGCTTCAAATTCGTTTAGAAACCGGAACAGGTTACCTGCTATTACAGAAACGGTCGTCGTCGATGGCGTCGACTTGCGAGTTATCGTCGAGGACCATAATGGGTGTCGCGCCGTCGTGTAGACTAGATTTGGAGATGGATCTCTTGTAAACTTCTCTGGTGACGCTCCTGGTGAAGCTAAACTTCCGGACGAGTTTCTTGTCGAGAGCGGCCGGACTCTTCGGGCCCTTCGCTCTGTACTCGTCCTCCGTGCCCTCATAGTGAGCCAGCATCACCTCCGTGGCATGTTCCTCGATCACGCTGAGGGCGTAATCGATGTCGTCCTCGGTCGCATCCTCCTTTGTCACGCAGAAACGCAAGATATACTTGTCCATCACACGAGCTGGTATCATGTGCAATCGACCGGAAGCGTTAATGTTGGCCAGCAACTCCTGATTCATCTCGTCGCTCTCCTTCAACCGGAAGCACACCAGGCCGACTCGCACATCGTTCAAGATTTCGAAGCGCTTGTCTTTCTTCATGTGCGCCTCGAATCTCTTGGCTAGCCTTATGTGATTCCTAATGTACTTCTGCAAGCCGCTGATCCCGTACGATCTCATAACGAACCAGAGCTTCAACGCTCGGAATCGTCTGCTGAGTGGGATACCCCAGTGACGGTAGTCGATCGACTCGCCCGAGCGAGCGTGTTGAAGATAGAGTGGATCGACGACTAGTGCTGATGTGAGCTTCACTCGATTGCGCACCCACAGACAGGAGCAGTCGAAGTTCACCAGCAACCACTTGTTGGGATTCGTGTTGAACGAATCGGCGTGTTCGATGCCGTCCATGAACGGCCTCATCTCCGGGCAGATGAAGGCGTTACCGGCGTAAGCGCCGTCCACGTGTAGCCAGATATTTGGATACAACTGACACACGGGCCCGATCTCCACGAGATTGTCGAAAGCGCAGGATCCAGTGGTACCCAGAGTGGCGGACACATAGAATGGCACGAGACCGTTCTCCACGTCCTGCTTGATGGCTAATTCGAGCCGTTTGCCACGTAATGCGGCCTTGTCATCTGGCTCGAGCACTCGGAGTTTCACCAGGCTTATCATCGCCGCCTTCTCCACGCACGAGTGCGACTCTGTGGAACAGTAGGCCACCAATCTCGGTAGAAACGCCGAGTCCTCCTTATTGGGGGTGTTCTCCTGCTCCTTCAGCTTCTTGATGACCTGCGTTCGCGCCGCCAGCATCGTCACCAGGATGCACTCGGAGGCTGAACCCTGGATCACACCGCCGCCGACTTTTTGCTCCGACAGAAACTCGGTCGGCAGGCCGATCGCCTTGGCGTACCAGTCCAACACGATGGTCTCGAGCTCGGTGCAAGCCGGGCTGGCCGCCCACGAAAAACCGATGCAGCCGATCGCATCCGACAGCAGGTCACCCAGGATTGAGGGGAACGAGTTGCCGGACGGGAAGTAGGCGTGGAATCGTGGATGCTGCCAGTGAGTGATCTGTAAAAAGCATTGTCCCCCGAGTCGAATAACCTACTTTTATGTTCTGAAATTGATTTATCCACGGGAAGAATGGAATGGAATGGAATGGGACAACAGAATGAACGGCGGAAATGCCGGTGGACAACAGAAACTTTCATTGTCACCGTGATAACATTGCATTGGATTAAGAACCAACTTCGCATACGCTTGTGAAAAAGTCGCGTGTGTCGCGACGCGACGTTCTCTAAGTTGTTATCTCTGTCGGAAACGGAGATCGAAATGTTGTGACGTTGTCATCGTCCTTCAATTGTTCAGCCGACCGATCGTGCTCGATTAAAATTATTTTTAAACGTTTTCTATCACATTGAGCAATCTTAATTTACGAGATTGTCTTAATTTTTGCCTTAAATTTTACTTAAATTTTCTATTACTCTCTAAATTCTTTGGAGGGGAATCTCAGTCTAAAAAGTGAAAATTGAGCTAGTCTTGAAAAAAAGTGGCTCAATTTTCAATCTTTAAGAGTGAGATTTCACTGTTCAGAATGAGATTCATTTTACAAATTTTAGAGAGTATATTAATTCTAATATCTTTGAGTATAAAATGAATTCTTTACTAACAATTTTAATAATAGTTTAGAAACTTCCATAAATCTGTATCTTTTTGTTTTTTAATTGGATATTATCTATTGTTAAATTTCGATTTGAAATAAAAACATATATACTATATATATCAAATGCCACGAATAGAAAGTATTTTATGAATGGTACCATTAAATTTACTAATCCAGACAACACGCATGTTTGAAAATAAGACATCTTAAAAGACATTTTTTTAAAGACGTTTTATATCTCGATTTTGGACTTTTTGTTGTCTGCCGTAAAAATATTTCTATTGACTGTGAATTCTATTGTCCGTTCTTTTACAAAGTTTACATAATACACGTTGCATCACAAACATTTTACATCACTGGCCGACCTTAACTTTTCCTCAAGTTCTCGCAAAGAGTGGATCTGGAAAAAAAAACTTGCTAATCGGTAAAAAAACTGAAAAAACGCGATTAATCTACCAAATGTCACGTTGTTAGTTTTGTAAATCTCTGAGAAAAAGAGGGGGAGAGAGAGAAGAAGCGGTTTTTATCTATTCTTTTTTTCTCTCTTTTACGTGCAGGAACATTATTTATATCGGAAAAGGGGGTTGAAATCAATGGCAAGAGAGAGAGAGAGAGAGGGGGGGGGGAGAAGAGGGATCGATAATCGCGGCAATCCGTTACAACCGCAAACTCACTCCGGGCATTATTTTGCCATCGACGTCCATCATGATGGCGTCCCATGATTCCGGCTTAACGGGTGCCTCCTTCGGCAGCTTAGGTCTCAGGTAACCGGGATCGACGTTCGCCGTCACCCTTTTACCCTCCAGCGTGCGGATGTACTCGCATATGTACTCGATCATCTCCTTGCCGCGCACGCGAAATTCATCGATGTTCATGGTGCCAGAGTACCCCGGGCTGGAATGCAGCGATTTTCGCGTAGAAGCGTCAGAGCGTGAAACACCCGCCTGATTAGGCACGAACGCGACGTACCTGCACGTCGCACATGCGTTCGTGACTTTCTTTTTTTTAAACGTCCCTATCGGCACGGCGCGGCCGATGCGCCTCTCTTCTCGCTGTTATCCTCCTATATTTGCTTTAGAAAAGGATCAAGTTTTCCGCGCTTTTGCGAGGACTCTTCGCGGCGTTATTAATTCTTTCGAGCAAAAGGAAATGTGATATCGATGAACGCGTCTAATAATAATCCGCAAAAGTATTATGAAAGTAACGTCGTGGGATGCTCGTGTACTGAATTAATTACACACGAGGTACCACATGATAAATATTACGGAGACGTAAGTTTGGACAAACAATAAAATCACGTATATTCGGCTCAAATTTCTGTTTGACGAAAACTTGAATTTCGTTCAACAAACAAGTCATATTTTTTAACTCTTGAACGTAAAGTCAGTAATTGTAATTTTTAATCGGTTATATTTTTTATTTCTTTCTTTTTTCCCAGTAAATGAAACTTTCTTTTCTTTTTTAATAAAGTGTAACAAGAAATGTAGATTTTGTAACGGAACTTTTAAAAAATCCAAGCGGAACAAATGGCGAACGAAGCTTTAGAAGAACTTGGACGAAGCGTGCCGGTACGCTCACATTTCTTTTCTGCTACCACTCGAAAAAGTGACTACTCTTTAACGGAAAATCGACTGTTTACGCCAAATCCTCTTACGTAAGCGAATGCAGATTTTTAAAACGCGACTTTGAAAGGGGTGCAACTCTGAAGCGAACGAGTGGCGGCGAACGGCGACGTTGATGAGTTTCGACGGTGTGGCCCATCGGTTCCACTCACGTTTCGTTTCCGCTACCGCTCGAAAAGCTCCACTTTGGCGGAAAGTCGGCCCCCTCGATCGCGCGTACCTCTTCTCGCGTATTCTCGTAACTCGAGCGCCGCGCGATTTTCCCTCGTACGTATCGAACATTTGCCGCGAGCCACGTCAGACGAGAGACTAGTAGCATCTGCCGAAGCGCCGGTCAGTTTTATGCGCGCCTCGGCTCCGTACGCCCCTGCTATCACGCAGATAAAATTAAGGTGGAGAGAGAGAGACAGGAAACTGGAGAGAAAGCGTAATGAAATTTATTTTCCTAACAAATACAAGACCGATCACGAGGGAGAGGGAATACCCCTTGGAATTCTCTGACCGTTACGGTCCTGTGACGCATCTTTTAAATTCTAAAATCATCGTGGTGTGATTTCTCGGTAATTGGATCTGAATAAATTTACACGGATCTATTCAACGCGAATATATCCTAAAATTGATAATAAATAAATTTAATATAAATATTAATTATCTGTTTTTATACGTTAGAAAAAATGACTAATATTGTAACATACTGTATTCTCTAAAACTTTTAAAATGAATCTCACTCTGAAGAATGAAATCTCATTCTTAAATATTGAAAAGACTGGCACAATTTTCTCTTTAGAACGAGATTCCATTCTAAAAAATTTAGTGGGTATCTAATTAATAATTTCTTTTGCAAAATATTTAATTTTTTTTGTACACAGTAATATATTATAAACTTTGCGCATTGTTACGGAAGCCGCTTCTTGAACGGATTCTTCTAAATAATTTTAGTATTATACGATAAAAATCGATAATTTTTTTCTCATTCATTTTTTCGCTATTACTGATTTATTATAGTCGTAGCACAAACAAAAGTAGCTTCTTTGCACATTTAACGTGTCAGTACCGAAATGAACGTAATTTTTTTTACCGATTAAGAGCATCGCTATACAAACGATTTTTGGCAATAACCATAGTGTTTTTACTAAATCGTAAGATCGACTCTTTTCTCAAATTCGTTTCTTTAATCGACGTTTGCAACATGAAAATTCGGAAGTTAGTGCTGCAGACCAGCATCAATGACGCTGTAGCGGGGTCGCCGTTTGAATAAATGTCCCATACAGTGTACCATGTTCTGCGCACGGGGGTAAATTCTCCCCCGCTGGTCCCTTATCCTCATCGTCTCTCCATCGTTATAAATAGACATTTACTCTTCACCTACATTTACAACACACCCCGTGGAAGCGGTGACAGGTCACCGCTCAATCTTCGTAACACATACACACACACATACACACATGTCGATCGTTTTCTCATCGCCACCTTCACGCATGATCTACTCGCAGCCACCGTTTTCCGAATTGAAATCCCGGTAGAGCTTCGGTGCTCATGAACGCGTGAGAAGTAATTAAAATTCATTCTGATCGGTGACAATTCTTTTTGCGTATGTTGCTTGTATTATAGTAGGTAGTTATTTCAACGAAATTAACAAATTCAACTGCAAGGACATCACATTGTTTACTGAATCGGTTTCGTGTTTAGTACATAAATGAAAATTTTAAAATTAGACGTAGTACGCAGGTAAATAAAACAGTTAAATAGTAGAGCGCAGAAAAGATTATATATTGCGCTTTAACTTTTCGAAAGATATCTACATATTTACCCAAAGAATACAAAGTCTAAAATTGTGACATAAGACGTCTTTAAGTCATTTTTTAAACGCAAAAAACCTTCTTATGATTCGATTTTAGACACTTTTTGTTGTCTGGGTACGTGCTTATCTTGCACACAGCATATACATAATTTTATACTTATGACTCTTAACTTGTGACTCATTCTTGCAATATTTTGAAACTATGTCTTCAAACTATGTTTTCTAATTTTTTTTCACTAGTTGAAATAACTTTTAATAATTTTATACATATAAAGATCTCAAATAATGTATGATATATATATATTTTAAGATTTTAATATTTTATTTAAATTTTGAATTTTTTGTTAATTAAAAGGATTTTCTTTTTTTTTATGAGAATTAGAAATTTAGTCATAAAGCATTCGAGAAATTTTAAGATTTTTCGTATATTTTTCAAGTTTTATATCCTCCTTCTTTTTAGTTTTCATGGTTCGGGAATGTTAAAAAAAACGACGCATAGTTGAGACTGAAACGTATTTACTTTCTTATTGAGTGAAACATACCACGGGGCAATTTCGGCGACATCTCATCGATTCTATCTCTTGATGAGCAATTTAACACAAAGTTTTTTCTCTAAAGTTTGTTCAAGCCCATTTTAGACAATCTGTAATTCGCGACAGAATCTGAGACGAAATTCTATATACGTATATTATTCTATAAATCTCATAATACAAAAGACATCCATAGACAATCAAAATTCAATTGCTAATAAGATTGAAACGTATTAATTCCTATAGAAAATAGTATATATATATATATATATATATACATATATATATATAAGTAAAGTGACAAACTTAATAATTATAATTAACGATTTAAAGCTTCAATTGTTTTACAATAACTTTATTTTTACACCGAGAACATATAATATTAATGTAAAGACCTAAATAATTTTTGCAAGGTTTAAATATATATATAATATATGTAATTATAATTCGAGATATAATATAAGATTTCTCTTTTCTCTTATCCATAATTATATTTACAATTTGACACATGAAAATATTGGGCATGTTATATATATATATATATATAAATATCAAGAATTATTTCTCTCTGTCCCAAATTATATATGTGGTCTAAAGTGGGCTTGTATATCGAGATTGTCGGCAGTATCAGTTCCCGATGTAAAGTCGTAACTAGTGGATTTCCCTTCTGTCTATTTTCTTGGAGCACACAGACGGGGTTTCGGAGCACAGAGAGTCGTCCATTGCGATTGTTATACGCTTGGAGGACACCTCTCGGAAAAATTGCACGAAGAAAGAAAAGGTCGATGCAATGCGATTACGCGCGGCCGTTGGGCGATCTGCCTCGCGAGGGCGAAGCAGACGGGGACGGATCCGGGCTGCATCCGTTACTGCTACCGCGGCGACTTCCGGTACCGCCGGTCTTCAGGCGTACCATGGTGTCCAAGTGGCGGAATCTGTGCGTGTGAAAACCAAGATAAAAATAATGACAAAAAACGAAAATTAGATAATGTTTGCAGCGATAACACTGTTGAACAAAATATAATTTTTTTACGTAAAAATGGTAATTTGCCTAGAGATAAAAAAATTGCCCGCGCGCGAATTTCTGTACATGCACGTGTTCACACATGTGTGTCTTTATATGAATTGCAGATTGGAAATGTGGACCCTGTAATCAAATTTTAGTATTTAGTGACTGCAAACCACTTTCCAATTCAAAATATTATATTTTTATGGAGGTCTATGTATATTAGTTTTATGCATATTTAATTTTTTTATGTATGCCGTAAACAACTTTTCTAAAATACTCGTCTGCTTGATTTATTATTATAGTGATATTCTTTTTTTTTAAATTCCAATGAAAGTCGGAAAGCATGATTTTTATCTTATAACTATATTTTTTTTCCATGCAGACTGCAATATTTCCAAGTGAAATTATTTATCATATTCATTAGCAACATCCTTTAAATTAGATGGAAAGATGTCTAAATGAAAATGTAAGTGATGAATTTTGACAGACATATTGCAGCTTATATTTTTATATGATACTTTTATGTACTAAAAAATCATCGGCTATATTTTCATAAATTGAGCCGTTAAGATATCTGCACTTACGTAAACATGTTTTGCATACTATTTTAAAAATAAGTCTTTTTTTTGCATTGCAGATCGACCGGAGCGAAATTGATAAGCTTCTTTCATACGTGAAGAAATATTTCTTCTTTGACTTTTTACCGCATACATAACAGAATAAGTCTCAAGAATTTTTACATATTCGTGTCTTTTAGAAAATAGAAGAATAAGAGAGACATCAAATGTAATATAAGAAATCAAACATAAATTTGCAGTGAATAACTTAAATACTGTAAGCTTACACTGTCTCGTCAAAAATGCTTATATAAATGGTTTATTGTTTTTTAGCTGCTTATTTAAATAGCTGCTTAGCGCAAAATTAGCGCCTTTTTGTTGTGTGTATTTTATATTTGTATGTCTTATCACTTTGCTTCGGTCAATGTATAAATAATGTAGAAAAGTCTTTTATTTCTCTAATATTAGTCATGGAAAAAAGATATGTAAGTCGATAAAGACTATATTTTCTGACTTTTGTTGGAATTCCAAAAAAAGAGGCATCTATATTACGTTATTATAATCGTAAATCAATCGAACGAACATAGGAAAGTTGTTTACGACAACATAAAAAAATTACATATGCAAAAAAAGAGAGATACAAACTTAAATACATCTTCATAAAAATATAACATTTTGAATTGGAAAGTAGTTCGCATGAGTCATTAAATATACATCAAAATTACTTTCGTTGGTTTGTTTAAGATATTTTTTTATGTTTTTCGTACTTTTTTATCTATGATGCTCTTTCTAATGAATACATGAGATTAAAACAAGAAACAAATAAAATTCGCTCTGATTGACGGGGGAGAAAAGTTGACCGGACGCAAAGGTAGCAGATAACGACGTGTTTCGTATCCCAGTGCTCTTTCGTATGGATCATTCTGAAATGAACTCGTACATTCAATGGAGTCAGATGTCATTATGCTAGTGGTCGATATAATGGTGACGATAAGAGAAAAGACACTATTTGTCCCTGTAAATAATAGCAGCACGTGATATCGGAACTGCTGTACACAAGTATAGTGTTACATTGCATTACGTTGTCGTCTGTATGATAGCGGTGTTCCCAGAACACGTGTCGTACAAAATTTTCTACGTAACTTTAAATGCAGCAAGAAATAAATTTCATCTGTATCTGATCGATCAAACCGTATAACAAAAAATTACTTTTAAATTATTATTTTTAAATATTTTTAACTTTTAAATATTCTTTAAAAAAACCAATTTAGAATTAGTCTTAAAATAAACATTAAAATCGCGAATTGTATCTTTATGTAAAAAATAATTAAGAGCAAAAAATATTTTTATGAATGTATGATTAACTCTTTGAAAACATGAATAGTTTCTAAGATCTAGTCTATTCATTTTAAAAGTATAATGTAAGTTAATAATAAATAATGTTCAAATTAGAATAATAGAAGAGTACCTGAGCGATAATTCACTTGTATCAGCAGCTTCTTTCGCCTGCATGAGATAAGCAAGTGGCCAAGATATCCAGGATTTTCTAAATAAAAAAATTGTATATATTTATATTAATTGTACATGGTAGAGTTTAGGCTTAATAAATTAATTATATTAATTGTATTAATTTATATTGATCGTATTAATTATATAATCAATAGTTTTATAATAATTAAAATGTAATCGTCTTACGTTCCGGAATGAGTATTCGATCCGATACCACCAATCGTTGCTTGCGTGTCGAGTTTGGCTCCTGTCCTGTTCGGAGTTTTCGTGAATCCTGGCTGAATCGCAGGATCAGACACCATGCGTACGAAGAATGATCTCCTTTGCTCCAAAGTAGCCTTCCTCTTCTTCTCGCGAATGTCCGCTAACTCGTCCATTACGTCCTGACGTGCAAATATTCGATTATATACAAACATTCTCTTTTAATTAATATAAACATTTTAAAGTAATTATGTTCCAACTTACATTGAATTCCAATAATTCACTTAGATAGTCCGTTATAATGCTCCACGCCGTGTCTTAAACGTCACAGAATTAATTCAAGACGATACATACATATTTCTTTTATACAATATAGAAATGAAGAAAATCCATAATTATAGAATATATAATGATATTAGATAAAAATAATACATTTGTATTATATTTATCTAATATTTTGTACACATGGTACACTAATTATAGATAAAAATGATGAGCTGAACTATAATTATCACAAAACCTTCAATGAAGTATTCAAGAAAACTTGTGATTCATTGAGAAAGTTAAATATCGTATAGTATCTTAAGCATAAATTCAGGAAGACGAGTCTCTTTTTGTAAAATTATAAAACTATAAAAATAATTTACCAACATCTCTGGCAGTAGCATGAGGTGCGGATAACGCAAAACGTATTGTGTAACGCTGATTCACTCGCGCCGGGATCATGTGTATCTTTCCTGAGTCGTTAATAGTGCTCAATAATTTCTGATTCAATTTATCGCTGCCTTTAGCGCGAAAGCACACCAAGCCCAGCTGTAATGAGCGTAGTAAACAAATGATGATACGAACAATACAGGAGAGTAAATATACGAGAAATTCTCTTACCACAACGTCATTGCAAACTTCGAATCTAGAATCCTTTCTGACGAGTGCCTCGAATCTTTTAGCAAGTTTGACATGATTTCGGATATAAGCTTGTAGCCCGGATATCCCATAGCTTCTCATTACAAACCACAGTTTTAATGAGCGAAATCGCCTGCTTAACGCTATACTCCAATGCCTATAAAAGAACGTTACATTATTTCAACTTGGAATTACTATATAAAATATTAGTCTAGTATTTTTTTTTTAATGCATTTGTATGAACTAATATTTTTTGCCAATATTTCAGTTATAATCAAAATTATATAATAACAACTAAATACGATGGCAAATGTTAGAAGTTAATAAACAATGCGGAATAAGAAATTACTCAAACTAGTAAAATAAAAGATTTTTTTTTAATCTTATCTAAAAGTGCAATTTTTAAATTCTGCTAAATGAATTGACTGACCGATAATCTATAGCCGTGTCCGCGTGTGTATGCTGCAAATACAGCGGATCTACAACGAGTGCGCTGGTAAGTTTAAATCTGTCGCGAACCCAGAGGCAAGAGCAATCGAAATTCGTCAGTAAAAATTTATTGGTGTTGGTATTGAAGGAGTCGGCATATTCAACCCCATTCATCAAGTATTTCAATTCTGGACAGATGAAAGCGTTTCCGGCATAAGCGGCGTCCACGTGAAGCCAAATCTGCATGCGATAAAGATTTCGATTAAAAAAGAAATGAAACAATGCCCATATTCTAAATCTCTTACATATACAGTTTTCATCTAATATATTTCAATATATTTAAATCTCTTACATATATACTCACCCCTGGATATTTTTTACAAACCGGACCTATTTCTCTAAGGTTATCGAACGAACAGCAGGCGGTTGTGCCGAGGGTCGTTGAGACAAAAAAGGGAACATAGCCTTCAGCTGTGTCACTCTCGATCGCCTATCATTTAATCAAATCACATTGAAACCAATATTGTAGAAGAATCGAGCGGAAAAATGACGAAGATATTTGCAATATTATACAAATTTATAGAATGTTTTTTTGCAATTCTAACATTTTGTCACGGTTAAGTATCATAACATCAACATTGTTTTGTGATTAAAAATAATACGATAATTTATTTAACTGTTTAGTTTTTAGTATAAAAAAAATATATAAACGTCTATATAAATGATATTAATTTTAATTAATCCTTAATACACGATTTGATTATTCATGTCCTGCATTATTTTTTCGAAAAATCAGAAGCATTAAGTAAGTAGTTATTACATTTATATACAATTTTTTTAAATAGAAAACTAAATGTTTTTGAATTTGTTAAAATATATATATAAGAATCACTTAATAATTTTTAAATATTAATTAAATTAATAAGAAAATTAACTCAGGACACGAATCGTGTGCAGCAAAGGACCGAAGAAAGACATCGCGAATACTAAGTACGTTAATTTATGTCAATAATATAAATCTTTGAAATAGTCGTATCTAACTTGTAGCAATAATATCTAGACGCACCTGTCGCAAAGTCTCCCCACGAAGTACGCTTTTCTCGTCGGGCTCAAGGATACGCAGCTTTACGAAGCATATCATTGCGTCCTTCTCGACGGAGCTATGACTTTCCCGGCTGCAATATGCCATTAGTTTGCCGAGCAGCGCGGTCTCGTCCAAGTGTGCATGTGCAGGAGATTCCTTGAGTCTCGCAATTGCTTGTGCTCGAGCGGCCAGCATGCATACGAGAATGCATTCCGATGCTGAACCCTACATACAGGGTGGTCCACATAAAGTGTTATAAGCAGTTTGTTTGGAAATTATTAAAGACAGTGACAAAGCTCTTGCTTATTTGAAAATTCCTGTGACTCTATGGGATAAATAGGATATTACTGTTGGACCCTGCAGAACGACAGAGAGCAGCGACTTATTTTTTAAGTAAACTATAGTTCTTTTTTTATATAGATCGATTCTTTTTATCTACATCATTTTACATGTAAAAGTATTTAAATGAGATAATCGAAAAGTGAATACTTTGTAAGATATTTTATACTTTATCCTAATACGTTTTGATAAAAAATATGAAATATTCATATATTCAAATATTCACTTTCCGATGATCTTATTGTAATTCTTTCATATATAATGTAATGAGAAAGATCATTTCTTGATATATTAAAAAAAATGTCGAGTTGTCGATATCCTTTTTCCGGATATCGGAGATTCCAGACCTCTTTGAGGAAGAAACTAGAATTCTATCAACTTGTTGAAATTCTAAAAATTGAAATAGGAGATGGATGTGTATTCGAAGAAGCTGGCTTAGGGTGTTTTATATCATTATTTTAAATATTCTTGTAAAATCTTTCACACCTGTATGACGCCTCCGCCTTTACTGCCTTCGCTAAAGTATAAGAAATCCGTAGGCAGTCCAATCGCCTTGCCTATAATTCAGAAAGATGATGAATCACTCCGTAAATCAATCGCTCGCAAAGTCACACTATTGATCTGATAAAACATAAAAGCGGAAGAGAATTACCGAACCAATCGCAGACTATCGTTTCCAGTTCTGTGCAGGCCGGGCTGGCCGCCTAAAACAAATAAGATTTCATTTTGGGAACGGTCAAGTAAATAATTGCATATGATCTATCACTTAAATTCGACACGAAATCAAAATTGTGATCCTTTTCGATGTCAGTGAGAAAATCGAAGTGGTTTTAAAGTGTTGTTTTATCACCACGTTAAACTGCGACTTGTCTAATTATAGTTTTGCATAGTATTTACTCACAGCTTCTTAGACTGCTTGAGAAAATTTCTCACTCACCCAAGAAAATCCAATGCAGCCTATCGCATCAGATAGCATATCACCAAGAATAGAAGGAAAAGAATTTCCGGCCGGGAAGTAGGCGTGGAACCTTGGATGCTGCCAATGCGTGATCTGGAAAGAAGTTCATCTGACTGGTAGAAGCGTCATTTTTCCTTACAGTCGATATAACTTTTCTTACGCTATTTAGAAGTACTTCTTAATACAAGAAATAATTATGTAATAAAATTACAGTTACTTAACAAAATGCAATAAAATCCAATAGATTTAATATAAAAAAGAAACCATTCAAATTAATTTTGTAAATGACTTTAATCGAAATTGATCTTTGTAATAATTTATCAAATATTTCTGACATAAAATAATTAATATATTGTTGATTTCTTCCCGATCTTGCGAATACTCACGCCCGGCATGATCTTTGATTCCACATCCTTCATAATCTCATCCCAAGATTCCGGATCATTCGGCGGTCCCGACGGCAGCAGAGGTCTGAGATAGCCGGGACCAATATCCGGGGTGACCCTTCTGTTGTGAATGTTGCTCATGAATTCGCAAATGTAGTCCACCATCTCCTTCCCGCGAACGCGGAATTCTTCGATATCCATGGTGACTTATTACAAGTTCAATTCAGCAACCTTTGCTTCAGTTTGAAAATATTAAAATTCTTTTTTTTTATCGCTATATATAAATATATTACATATTTTATCGAGATATTTTCGTATATTTTTTTGGCATATTTATCGATATAATTTTCTAATATTCTGTAATAAGTTTTACTTATTATAATCGATACAACTCTTCTCTATTTTGAAATACTGTTTAATGTAAGAGATAATCGCTTAATTTATAGAGGAAAGTCATCGATACCGACATACCACTTTGTTTTTAGACAATATTTCTTAAACAAAAGGTAAAAATACAACTTCAAAAACATAAATAAAGTAAAAAGTGTCTTCTAACAAATAGTATAAGCAATTTTTATAATACTGTTAGCAATTTTGCAATAATTAAGTTTTTCATAAGTTGTGCAAAAATGAGCGTTTGACAAAATAGGCTCCAAAACTGACAGTAGGCAGTAATGCTATGTATTCCTATTCTTTTTCTTTTACAGGAATTATCTGTATAAAGTACCTATAAGTGAATGTATATAAGATTTTTCAGAATCATTTTACTTCGTTATAAAACATTTTTATTGAATTATATGCATATTTACTTTATGCTATTCTGCAAGATGCAAATATGTAACGCGATAGTTTTTCTAAAGTTGTTCCATATATGCACGATTGCCTTCAGTTCCAATAGACTTATTTGACACTATAAAGCAACATTATAAAGATTAAGTTAGCTCATGGTCTGTTTTACGGACAGGTGTGTCGGTTTACGCTGCACGCAAATTTTAAATTAAAAATCGTATTATGAAAAGACTAAGAGAAAAAATAATATAAATAAAACTTATTTCGGAATCTACAAGTATTTAAAATGACGTAATATTATCAATAATATAGTCACTATTATTAACTTCACAATTTGCAAAAGAAAATCGTAAGAATTTTATTTTCGCATTTGTAGAATTCGTTTTCTATGAGTTTGTACTTCTTTAATTAGCTAAACATGATTTATTAGTATTATTAGATTTTATTAGTATATTAATAAAGTGCAATAGTTAGTTTCCGAAAAATAATTTTTTCGTGTCACTTTAGGAGACCTATGTCAGTCGGCGACTTTCTTCTACTATTCTATGATAATTTAGACCGATAAGAATGAATAAAATAAGAGAAAGAATCCTATTTTTGGTCGAAGCGAATCTTGATGCTTATAGCATATAATATATATGATTTTATCTTTATATGTAAATATCTGAAGAGAGTCTAATATTAACACCGACACATTTAATATTTCGTTTTTTAATGTATAATTTAATTGTATATTGACTCTTATATGCCCTATTATTATATTTAATTTGTAATATATATGATATTATATAATATTCACATAGAGGGAAATCGCCTATATCGTACCCCCTAACGTTTAAACAAAATTGTAAACAAAAGTACTGAAGATATCAAAATATTTCTGTACTTATATTAAACTTTGGTTCATTGGCAATAAAACAAAACGATACTTTTGCGGAAATAAACATTAAATTATTGTTTAAATTAGATTTTTTAAAAAAGTAGCTTTCGGTACGATTTAGTGACCGGGTCGTTAAATTGTACCTGGTTCCTAAAGCGTACTTCTAATATAGCAAATAAACTGATATTGCTTATTGTCATTTTGACATTAAAATAACATCTTTAACGTCAAAATGACAGTAAATAACGTTAGTTCGTTTACTGGGAAAATAAACAAAATTAATTTTAGATTATTTATTAATAAATTTATTTTTAATGTGTCAAACTGAGTATACATATTTAAGTAGGTATAATAAAAACTTTTCTATTATAAAAACAGAAATTAGACTGTGTTTTTAAACTCATTTAAGAAAACAAAGTAAAAAGCAATACTTAAATTGATTTAAGCTATCATTGCACTATATTTCAGAATATTAAAATCTCAGATATATATTTTGAAAAAATAAATTTTGGAAATAAAATCAATTACGGATTTTTCCGTCATAACAGAAAAGATTCAATAGAAAGATTAAATAGAAAAATTTAATAGAAAGACTCAATAAGACTTGATAAGTAATCACTTTCTTGAGCGCTTTTTTAAACAGTTTTGGTAAGTGTCAGGATTGTCACTACAGGTTTCGTGCAACCACTTAGAGCACCTGACACACTAAATCCAGTCCACTGTAGGTCCTTTTTTTATCATAATAGTAACCTCCACATATGCTCGCGTCACTTGCGAAAATTGTACCGGTACAATATAAAAACCAGCGACAAGTACGATTTACCCAACTCCTTCTATTTTTACAAAATCGTAGGATTTTGGCCCTCGGTGAAATTGACTGAAATTTTAGTATGATATAGTTCTTGACTCACTGATCAAAAATGTTCATAGACACAAAGCTTGAAAATGACTAGTTTTTTTTTATTATATATATATATAACCGTTTAAAGTTTTATTTTATTAATGCCCCAAAAGCAAGTTTCTGTAATAAATCAAGAGATTTTAGATAACAATATGCCATCCACTTTCACCACTCTCACTCCCAACCCCGATTTCTCTGACGCGTATCATTTGAAATGTGTGAGTCCATTTACCTTTCATGTGTGAAGTGCTTGATTATCACGACCCGAATGTTTATTTCGGCATGTGAAGCTCCATGTACAAAAAAATATCGGGTGCTCTCTAAAGCGCGATAGCAACATAGGACAGAAAATTCTTTTCCTCTTCGCTTTGTTTACATTCATATGCGGCAAGGGGACTCACGAAAATCAAGTAATCCAAAGGAATGAAACGCCTGTCACATCCACGTCGTTCATTCCGAATAATTCTAAGAACGGACGAAAAACTAAAATCATCAATGTATCATTGATGCATACACAAACACACACGTGCGCGCGCGCACGCACACACATACGAAACTTCGATTTTTATGCACCTTTTTCATATAAAAATTCGCGCGCGGGCGTATGTGTTTAGGAATGGGGATGGGGGTGGAGTGGGAGTGGAGTGGAGATGGGATTGGGAGTAAAGGTGGTGAGAGTGGTTGGCATATTGTTATTTAAAATCTCTTGATTTATTATAGAAACCTGATTTTGAGGCATTAGTAAAATAAAACTTTAAATGACTACAACAAAAAAACTAGTCATTTTCAGGATTTGTGCCTATGGACACTTTCGATCAGTGAGTCAAGAACTATAACATACTAAAATTTCAGTCAATTTCACCGAGGGCCAAAATCCTATGATTTTGTGCGGGGTCCTTTTCCAGTCGCGACATAACTTACAAATATTTTGCTAATTTGATGCTATACTCGAAAAAAGTTTAAATATCAATTTTAACCCTGAAGGACACTATAATTCAATTACCCACCTTATACTGATAACACCTTAGGTAAATTGTATTAAAACTTAGATCAGACACCGAACAAAATCAATTTTGAATGTCACTCGTAAACAGACGACTCGAAGACAAAACAAAAATGATAGTTCTTAACCCATATTAC